TTTGACTTCAGAAGGGCAATTTCTGACTTTTCACCTAGCCAATGGCAAATTGTGTTCAAGCATGGATTCAAGGACTCAATGGCATCATCTTGAACTATTCACAAGGTTCAAAAGATCTCAATTGCATTGGATTGACAGATGAATTTTTCAGTCAACTGATCAAAATTTGACTGTACACTCAAAAGTCAAACTTTGACTTTTTGGCCAAAATCAAGTGCCAAGGGTCATTTTTCATCAAGATATGTAAAAACATGAAACTTGTTCATCAAGAAATCCAATTTTGCAAATTAGGGTTTAAGATTGAAAAAATTCATAACTTAGAATTTTTCTAAGTTATGAAATTTTCTTAATTTTTCCCAACTTAGCCCAACATTTTCACCATGATGCATTTGGATTCAAACAAAACTTCCAACATGAAAGTTTTAGTACTCCACAAAGTCTACAACTTTTATTCACAAAGTTTTCCCAAGAGAAGCTTGGATCTCAAGTTATGATTTTTGGAACAATGGTCCATGAAACTTTTAACTTAGTGAAATTTTGCCCTAATTTAGGCAGGATTTTGACCTATATTCTTGGCTATTTTTCACCTAGTTCCACTTGGAATCTCAAAATTCATTTCAAAGATGGATTTTATAGCATGTTACAAGCTTTCTAAAATGTCCAAGAACTCTCCAAAATCCTTTGTGGTTAGGGAGAATCGAAAGCTTGAAGTTGGCAAAAACTTACTTTTGATCCATGGCATGTTCATATTGATACAAGTTGCAAACTATAATCAGCCTTGTCTGTACTTGATTACAGGTCTCAAAACCCTTCCATACTCAATAATTAAATGCAAATCCATTGGTATAAGGCTTTGTTTTGGTCATTATAGGATTATACAATAGATTAATCCAAAAATAGTAAAAGGTAACATTGCCATTTTTGTCCAAAATTGCTTTATGTCAAACCACATCTCTTGAGCCTTGAACAAGATCTGGTATAGCATATAATATCCACCAACTTGAGGGGCCAAGATCACAAGGTGCAGGCTGATAGATAGCTTGTACAGGCTTGTCTTGCATCATTGCTCACTTTGGCTTAAAATACAAGAAACGTGTCAAATACAACACAACTGGCATATCTGTAAAAACCAACCCTTGCAAGCTTTTGAAACAAGTTTTGTGAATTCCCTTGAGCCAGAAACACGAGCCATTGAGCCCCCAAACCTTCCATAGCACAAAATCACCTTCCATTTGCAAAGCAGGGCACTCCCTGCAGTTTGACTTCCATAGCAAAAACCCCTCGTGCGTTTTGCCTCAAACTGGTTCAAACACATTCCACATAACCTATCCAAGTTATCCCAACCCTTAGACACTGACTGTAACTCCATTTGCAAGGTTTACCATTTTTTATTTCAGCTTGTGCAGGTTGAGTTCTACAGGCTTGTTCAGGTACATTCAAGACAAGCTATGCATTGGGGAAGGTCAGGGGAAGTTCAAGGAAGCTCCCAGACATCTCAGGCCTCACTGAAAAGTTCCACATTGCCATACACGAAGTCAACTGAAACAGGTTTTTGTCAACTTCCTATCTCTCTATTTAGGAATCATTAGGCTTAGGTTTATGAATAAAAAATGTAGTATTCATAGCCATGAAGCTGTACATATGCTCAATTTTCATTTAAGTTAATCGTGTTAAGAGAATTTGATCCATAAACTTCTTGAAAAAATTAGGTTAGGATTTAGGGCCAGAGAAATTCTCTTTGGTCTTTGAGAGTTAGAATGAGTTCTTTACATGGTTGGATTCGTCTTGAAAAATGCTACAACTTTGATGTTATGAATTTTTGCATTAGAGCATGTATGCAGGATCTGGAATTTTGTACAGGCTCGCCTGTTTTTTGAACAAAAGGTTGAAGATGAAGTCAGTGGGCTGGGCTTGGTTCTGGCCTTGTTTTTGACACCCCCCTTTTACTGATTGCACCCCCTGGCCCAATTTCTTTATTTGTTTATTTTTTTCTATTTTATTTTTCATTTCTGATTTTATTTTATATTTTCTAAACATAAAAAAATACCCAAAAACATTTTTATAAATTTTCTCATTTATTTTTATATTTTTATTTGATTTTTCTAACATGAAAATAATTATTAAGTAGTACATACTTTTATTTTATTTAATAAAAACTTGTAAACAATACATAAAAATATAATATTTTTAGTATTTATATATTTAAATAATACTTTCTCATATATTATTATTTTCCTAAATATTTGTATATATTTATATTTTATTGTACACAAAATAATTAATATAATATATATTATCTTAAAATAAAAAAAACTAGGGTTTCCACCCTTATTAAAAATAATACTTTTTTAATATATTTTTTTATCTTTTTGACACTTTGAATATATTTTTATTTTTATTGTGCATAAATAAATAATATTAATAAATATATTTCCTTAAAGAAAATTAGGGTTTTACCCTTAATAAATAAAATATAATAATCTTTTATTTCTTTTTATATATACATCAAATTTTTTTTTTACATACATAAAAAATAAACAAAAACATTTTGTGCATATTCCTAATATTTTGCATATTTATTTTATTGATCATTTAAATACTTGTCCATTTATTTGTTTGTACCATTTATTCAATTTGGATGTAATAGTAAATATTAGGGTTTTAATTTCTTGCAAAATAATCCCCATTCAAAAATTGTATCCCCCTCCCCATATCAAATGTTGTAATAGTGTAGATTTATTTCGTGCACTTTATGCTTACAAATATGCCATGTTAGAGATTAGGGTTTGTATGCAAAAAATCCAAAATCAAACAAAATAGCTTGACTAATACAAAGACAAAAAGAATGAAAATCACTGTGTTGGTTGCCTATACAAAAATGATCTAGTCCCTCACAAAAATTGCTAAAGATACTTGGCAATATTGCTATCATGGTCAATATGATGACCCGCGCCTGTCCCGTTTAACATCCAAACACAAGGTTGTTTACTAAATACAATGGTAAAACAACACTGTCAAAAGGGTTAAAAACGTATAGGAAAGATATTTGAGTAAAATAGGGTAGACAACTCTTAGTTACTTGATCAAAACTTTCAAAACATCCTTGCTATTTTCAAACACACCTCACAACACAATTTCAAAACATTTCCCAAAAACAAACTTTCAAACATTGAAATATCTTATCAAAAGACAAATACCTTTGTATATATTCAAACAAGAATCATTACAAAGGTTTCCTAGACAAGGCCTCTTTTTCAAATCATTTTCAAAAACCACACACAAAGCACCATTTCAAACAACTGAAAAGCAAAAGCAAGTGATCTAAACAAGTAACTAAGAGCCCATGGATAACCATAGATGAAAAGGGTACTTGCACCTTCCCTTTTCATAATCTACCCCCCGAACCCAAGAAAACATCTCAAAGGTCTTTCTTGTGATTTTTGACCTTTCCTTTGGATAAAATAAAAGTCGGTGGCGACTCTTGCTAAACCGCACAATTACAAACACAAACACAAAACCTCAAGTCAGTTCTCCCACCGTATCACAACCATCTTAAAACTTGCATTTGAAAACTCATTAGAAGATTGATAAAAAATAAAAACATCTCAACAACAAGTCTCATTTGCTTTTTATAAAGTATATCATTCATTTCAAGTTCTCGAAGCAACAGCATATGATCAACGATGTTTAAATGGTTCACTTAGACCAAAGTTTATGAAGATTCATTAGAGGATTGATAAGACCAAAGCCTCCTAACAATGAACCTCAAGGTTATTGAATCAAAGGTTTCAAATTAAACATACTTGGGTTGCAAACATGTGATTGGACTATGAATGATCATTTCTCGAACTGTGACAAAATTTAGCGTTATGTTAAGCAATCATAAGTGGACTTATGTAGAAGTCACACCTATTTTGAGGCCGATCAATAGCAATCTATGTACCATATATTTAGAGAAATGATATGTAGATCATTCTCTAACAACATGTAGCACAAGTAAGAAAGGTATAAGATGAAGAGGGAGGGGATGTATTAAATAAAAATAGGGTTTTAAATATTATCAACATCATTCATCCATTTTGTTGGATTTGGTTTTTAAACCTATCAACACCCAAGATCCAATGAGGTTGAGGAATTTTCCCCCAAAATAACTCCTAAGTGAGGGGATGTAACGAATTGATAATACAATTAAAAGTCTAAAAATCAACAATACAACCCAATCGAAATTAATTAAATAACTAATTAAGTTAAATCATTTTATTTAATAAAATTAATTAACCAAAATAATTAATAATATTAAAATAATATTCTTCAGTTTAATTATTTATTTAAGATAAGTTTTTTTTTATTTGATATAGAAAATTATTTAACACAACAATACAAAAGAAAATATGAAGAATAAAGAGAAAATGTAAATGGGCCTGCAATCAGTAATTTGGAGGGGTGTTCGAAGCAGTCTGCTTAGGCCCAATGAGGAGGATCCATTTGATCCAGTGCAAGAAACTTTGGAGGGTGCACAGTGAGTTGCATAATTCTGGCTGCTGGATAGTTATGATGAAGATCTGAGGAAGATCTGAAGGCAGAGAGAGTGCATGTGCATCATATTGAAGATGTGCTCACACGCTGGATCTGGTGAGCAACTTACAGGAGAGAGCACCGTGGAACACGTGTTTAGGACATGGGATCTGGATTTGTGGAGGTTAGAGATTGATGATGAGAGGGAGCATGGTGACTATGGTGCGTCTACCTGCATAGAATCACATAATAGTCACATGGGTGATGACAATTGTCATCACCTAATTAACTCTTAAAATAAACTTAATTATATAAAACAAAATTTAAAATAACATTTAAAAGAAAAAAAACAAAAGAGACAAAATTCTTTTCTTGTATCTTCTCGTCTCTCTCTGAAAGGAGCTCGCCTGAGAAGAAGGGTCTGCCGTGTCAGAAATCGCCTTGCGGCGGCGGAAGCGGCGGAGATGCTCAGATCTCAAAAAACTTTACATTTTTCTGAATCGTCTTCTTCTTCTTCTGGTTACTAATCCGCGCTTTGATTTCGTAGAAAATGGAAGATCTCGCCTAGATCTTGAAGGGGGTTTCAGAAGCCCTAGGTGCTCAGGCGATGAAAATCCGTGATGATGACGAGAGAACTGGACTCTGGGACGTGAAATCGGACTCTCAAGCGTGATTGAGGGTTTGACCGCGGTGAGGGTGTCTACCGGCGGAACCATCAACTTTCAACGGCGATGGAGGGCGATCTATAATTGCAACCTTTCCGGTGAGGCCCTTCTAGTTTTATTTGTATATTTACTCTGATTTGGCCTTATTTTGATTTTTTCTTTTGTGAACCAACTTTGCTTGTGATTTTCAATAGATAGAGTTATGCCTGTGATTGATACTTTCATCTGACTTTATTGTTATACAAATGCAATATGAGGCTTTTGTTGTTGGGCTTTGCTTCATGACTGAATAACCCTCAATTTTGATTCCCTTCACAACCCTAATGATGAAATTGAAAAGAAACCTGCTTGAAAACTTCTTGCTTAACAATTCTTGTTCATATCTTTTTAGTGATTTCTTGTTAACAAATTTGTGTTTACTTTTCCTTGTTTCATGTGATGAATGGTTTGTCGAGAGTATGGTTGCAAAGGGTATGGATTTAAGACTTGAGGAAGGAGGCAACCGTAGCAAAGCTTGAAGCCATGGAAGAGTTGCTTGAGCATAGAGTAGAAGCTTGAAGAAACTTAAAGTCTAGTGATATTCATAGAAGTTTAGGTGTAGAAAACTTGGAGTGTTTGTATCTTTGATATTTTAATTTGATTTTAGGCCATATAGGACTTGAATTTTCTTGTAACATGATGAAGTAACTTGAAATCCATGTCAATTTCTTTCTTGAATTCGCGTCTTGTTGTAAGAAACAAATGTTGGTGTATTCTTGAAATTTAGATTTGAGTTGAAATTAGGAACTAGAAAAAGAAGAAAGTTTGAATCAAACATGTATCTTGTCTTTTTATTGTAACTTTGAAGTTTTGGAGTTGTGAAATGAGGATTCTAAACAATGAATGAAGTATTGTGAAATGATTTGAAACTTGAACAATTTCTCTTGATTTTTTTAGATGTTGAAATTTCAATACTTGAATAAACTCTTAATGAACTTTGGTTGAAACATGAACAAATAACGTCTTAACATTTGCAGTTGGAAATGATGATGATATGAATCTTGAATTAAGAACACAATAATCTTTAAATTCCTTGTCCCTTCTATATTTAAAAATGCCAAACATTCTAAGCAAGATAGCTAATCAACCAACCCTCCACCTTTTGAATTTAAATTTGAAGCTTTGAGTAAACTTGAACCCATGAACTTGGACTAACCAAAACCTTGACATAATGGTCTGTAATTCCTCAAATTCAACAATCTTGTACCATGGATCTTTATCTCGACGATGAATAATCTCAATACACAAATAAGGCTTTGAGGAAAAGAAAACATGGCATTAGAAAATTTGGTAACATGAATTGGAATTTAGAGTTTAAGAACATTATAGGTCAAAAAATGACTTAAAATGTTTCAATAAAATTCATGACCCTTTAAGCACAATTTTCTCGTGGTCATTTAAGCAATCTTCTAGATAATGCCACTGGTGAAACCGTGCAAAAAGAGCCACCCAAAAACGAGTAAAATTGAACGAGTTACGATCCTCGAAAGTTGGACGAAAGACACTTGAAAATAGGTCAACATCCACAAAACGACCTCTATATTTACTCAAACTTTTGATGGTCTTCTACACATTATTAACTTTCGACTTGTAAAGAGAAATTAGAGATGATGTCAAGGAGATTCATATGCTCGAAGAATCGGTCAAAAATATTGAGTCATGAAGAAGTTATGATTATTTGAATTCAAACTTGCAAACGTTGACTTTCGGTCCAACAACTTTGAATCAAATCGTGAACTTGATAGTTTTTCCACAACCCGAGGCATTCTTTATCACATATGAACTTGAGGTGGTGAAGTCTTGATTAAACCATGTTCACACTTATTAGAAATCGACATTACTCGTCGAAGAAGGCATGAAAATAAACACATGAACCTATCTCGAAGAATCTTGGTAATTAAGCAACCAAAAATCGCATTAACCATGTCGGATGAAGCTTGAGGATAGCGTGACCTAAGATTATAGATCACCACTTTGAAACATAGGCTTTTGGGAACCATCTTTGTCCTGAACAAACCACAACCCTAATCGGAGAACCATCACATGAACTCTTTGATCCGAAACCCTGTCTTTTAAAAGAAACAAAAATAAATAAGACATATTTTTGGATTTTGGTTAGAGGTCAGTAAAATATAAAACATATGTATACAAGATACATAATTAGGATGCTTGGTAATCCCTCAAGAGCAAACTTAAAGATGAGATGACGTAGAAAAAATATCCAAACCCTAATGCGTAATTTTAATGCATTGTGATGGTATGAGATGATAGATGAATCTTAGGAACAAAAATTGAGATATAACACTACTCTTTTAATAATTGATTTTGTTTTTACTCTGTGAGGTTGCTGCTTTTTAATTGTTGGAAGAAAATAATTTAGTGTTCTCAGTTTTTGGCTGTCTACATCCATTTAATCTTTTTGCAAGGATTTTTATTAATTCATTATCCTGGTTTTTTTATGAGCATTTATTAACATTTGTCATAACCATGTTTTATATGTCCTTTCAAATTGATTTTTTTTTTTGCATAATCCAAACCAGTTAGTTGAGTTTTAAAACCACAAGAAGAAAGGGGTATCATGCTCTACATGACAATTTTTTTTACTGCAACTGATCCTTATTATGTGTGTTTGTTGATGTTGTTTCTGTTAAGTCTATTGAATGTGGTGAGCTAGCAACATGCGTTAGATTTAGTTATTGAATACGTGGACCAGTTTGTATTAATTTCATAATTAACGAATAATTGCACATATTTTGTTGAGTTTAACATGCATTCCATTTTTCCATCAACAAATACTATTCCATTTCATAGCAACAATCTTTCGGTTTAAACATAAGTAACAAAAATAATATAAAAAAGGTTATATTCCATTTGTCAAATAACAAGTGTGGAAATTAAATAAAATATTTTCACTGCTGTTTAATTAATATTGAGGAGTGGTAATGATTTTATGTAAGTATAGAATCATCTTCTTCCAACTATTTTTATAGTCTGAAAATATTGTAATGTGTTTAATTTATCTGTAGACTAATTTATTGTGATCACATGTTATACGAAATTTGAAAGTACTCCCTCCAATATAAGAAAAAATTAACTTTTTAGATACATTAAATAAGTAATGTATTTGGACAATATATTGTTCAAATACATTACTTATTCAATGTATATAAAAAGTTAATTTTTTCTTATAAATGAGACCGGAGGAAGTATTAATTTAAGATTGCAAAAGTATTAACTTTGACATGTTAAAATTCCTGAGAACTAACAAGTGACATCAGTTGAAATTTTATCTAAATTAGATTATCACAATATATTAAGCCATGCATGGCAAGGTGTTCACGTCGCTCGCATCCTCAACAATAATTCTGAGTACACATGTCACTATCTGTTGATATGTGGTTTGATGTTGGGGGAAGATATGTTTGAGATTAGAGATCCTGCTAGCTCAATTTCCTATGTGTTGATATGTGACTCTAACTACATAGGTCCCTATGAATAATCAACCTTACTCAATTTTCTAAGATACAATGATTCATATGATACGTGCAACTTGGAAAGTGGTTTAATAGTTAGGATATTCAATCTCTAACAATTCCTGTTTTTGAAGTTATAGGGTTTTTGACAAAGAAAAGTGAGAAAGAATAAAGACTAAAATATGACTACAATTGATTATATTTTTAGTCTATCTAAAATATGGAATCGTAATGAAGATCTTTATAACATAGATTTACGGATATATGTGAACGTTTCTATAATATATCAGTTGTTGATCAATATTTATATTTTAAATTAATCATTGGGAGATTTTGGTTATTAGTTATTTTCAAATAATATCAGACATCTTTTTTCTTCTTCAAGTGTTCCCTCTTCTATCTCAAATCACATATATTAAGCTGTCAAACTTAATAGTATGATATTTCTTATATCTCTTTATCTTAAATCTGTATAATAATATTTATTGTTAGATTAAAAACTATTATCATATAGATTATGTTTATAAAATTTAACATCAACCAAAAATCATTTGACATGTTAAAGAAGATGATCATAATTAAATATTTTGATAAAGTTTTATAAGACACTAGTTTTTATACATCTCATTTACATATCAAATAATTTTCGATTAATACTAAATTTTATTGACGTGATCTATTTAATAGTAACTTTCAATTCAATAATGCATTTTATTATACGGATATGCGGTAAAAATTACCAGAGGTGTCATAATAATAAGTTTGACGCCTTAGAGTTATATGAGTCAGGACCAAATGACTAGTTTAAAATATATATAATAAAAAATATGAATTAAACATATGTAATAAAAAAGTAAATAAATATATCTCTTTTACTCAAACATGCCTAGCAGCATAGTCTCTATAGAGATGAAGTAAGGAGATGTCAAATGGGGCTCCTAGATAACTCATTAAAGGGGGCATCAATCGCGGGTTCCTCTTTAGCTTTAGGGGCTTCAAGTGCTACTTCATCGCCTAAGGACTCGTGGCCCCGTGAATTAGAGGCCTGAGACAGGCAACTACGAGAAATAGAACCAGATGATTATGAGCCTCAATGTCGTGAACTATCAAACAAGTTATCATCGACTTGTGGCCTCGTGGTCTTGGGTGCGGCCCTCTCATGTCGTATAGACGCGGTTTGGGATAAACGACTGAGCCTAATTCTTCCAGGGTTATTTTCAGTCATTGCACTAGTGTTAAAACCAAAAAGTCGGATCAATAATTCATCCAAAATTTAGCCAGATACAAATCCGAAAATACATCTCCAAAAATAATTCAGGCATAATACGGAGATGCACCTCCGGATGAAGTCGTAATTTCCAGCCATGGCAAGACCCCATTACTGCCCTAGCCTCCAACCAAATGGTAATGCATGTCCAAATCAACTATCTATTTCGGTTGCATTATTATCTAATGTAGATTAAACAATTTATGTTACCTAAAACAAACACAAAAAATAATGAATTTTGAAAAACTTACAAAATCAAAGTTGTGGATGAGAAGTTTGAAAGGAGCGAGTAACTTTGCAGCAAATGAAATATAATGGAGTGAGAAGCTTGAATGGGTGAGAAATAGTTCAAATGGTAATTTTTGTGACTTTTCAAAAAAGGAAGAGGGAAGGAACGGGCGCGTGTGTATGAAATAAAAGCGTCTGGAGATGCATATCTGGGAAACTCCCTGAATGTCACTTAAAATTTAAATTAAAGGTTTTTATAGATATGCATCTTTGGATTAACCAAATATGCATACGAAGATGCATCTCCAAATTAAATTTAAAAAAACTAAAGTGCCACATCAATTTATGCTGAGAAAAGTGTAAAAAAATATGTCTGGAGATGCATCTTTGAATGCTAAGGACATTATTGTAAATTTTCATGGTGGTGCCCCTAAAGATGGAAAAAAATAATCCCCATTAACTATAGATTTTCTTATTCGCCATATTTACTGTTATTGGAAGATAGCCCAGCCGCCATAGTCTCGTTTTCCAGGCATCATATTGTCGGTTCGAACTTGATATTTTATAATATAAGTCTTCATTTCACAAAAAAAAAAGTAAAAAAACAAATAATCGAACTCTTATCCTTAAGTGTTACTAGCAAACACCCCACCCCCTGACACCCCATAAATGAACTAACTATATTAACCTTGTAAATTTTTCAAAATACACTCAAATTTTGCACGAATTACAAAACCTCCAGAGCGATACTGGAAATTTCACATTTTTACCAGAAATCTTGTGAAAAATAAGGTTTTTACTGGGAATTTCAGAATTTCTGGTACCATGCTTTAGATGTTTACCGGGAAATTCAAATGTTCTGTTATTTTTACATTCATTTTTACCGAGAATTTTAGAATTTCTGGTAGTTTAAATAGTTGGAATTTTACCGAGAATTTCATAATTTTTGGTAGTTAAATTTTGAAAATTATACCAGAAATTTCAGAATTTCTAGTGATATGTAGAAAATTTCAGAATTGACGTTAGTTCACTGATTTTTTGCATTTTTTTTCATTTTGCAGTGAAGACCAGGGGAAAGGACGACACTATTGCAGACAGGACCACAGATGGAGCGGCAACCTAGGCTAGGACTGTTAAGTCAAAGTCTTCCCAGCTACAGGTTGGACGAGTAGTTCCAATTGGTTCTCACTGGAAATGGTTGGTTGTGCAGGTGCGGTTTCGCCACCCCGTAGCAGTCGACGCCAAGCGGTTAGATTCGACGAGCAACCCAGAGATGATTTTGATGTTATTCATGCTCATGAGGTGTAGGGTCAGGATTTTATTGACCCAATTGAGGTAGTCGTGATAAATGTGGTACATGTTGCTTATGAGGTGGTCGAGACAAATGCGATCCTTATTTCTGATCATGTGGCTGATGAGGTGGTCGAGATAAATGTTGTTATTACTGATGAGGTGGCTGCCACATATCTGGTTCCTATTACTGATAAGGCTACTCCTACTAGTGATACAGAGGTTACGGCTCCTGCTTAGACTGAGCCATTTGTGCACACTGAAGGAGAGTTCTCGGGTGGACCTAGTGACTGATCAGTGCTTACCGAGGATGCTGACCATGTGGCATATCGATTATGGCAGGGAGAGGTATATATATATATATATATATATATATATATATATATATATATATATATATATATATATATATATATATATATATATATATATTGTTTAAATTTAATTTATTTATTATTGTTCTATGATGTGTTGAAAGCTAACTGATATTTTTTTAACTTTGTTTGTTACATGACTATCACAAGCTGGAGGTGACATCCCAGGGGTCAAAGATGAAGAACTTCCCTAGGAGTCTGATGCCTGAGTCATTCAGGTGAATTTTAAGAGATTTTGGTTTCCTATCATTTGTTGACTGCTCACTCAACATGCTTGACACTTCACTTCTTACTGCTTTTTTTGAGCAATGGAAAAAGGAGACATCTTCCTTTCATCTTTTATTTGTGGAGATAACTATCAATTTGGTGATGTATCTTCTTTGTTCCATCTCTCCATGGCTAATAGATTCTCCAGCACTCTTGTTACTAACTAGAAGTTTTCATGTATGGTGGTTGTAAGGGATTTGGGAGTTGTAACACCTTAATTCCCCAATGCACAATTGTAATTAAATCAGATATTTTCACAACTTTTTCACATAGGATGTTACACATTCTCAAGACACACACTAGTTGAACATGTAACACTTACAATAATTAAACATGCAATGCAACATTTTAATATAAACATTGCATTTAGGATGTTTACACGACATCCTACACATTTGATCTGTATTTTGGATGTTTACACGACATTCAGCTCATATGATATAGCATGACAGTGAAATCATAATTAAAACACACCAATTTAAATCCCATATAAAACTTCATTTTATACTAAAAAGTATCGACCCATAAGTCTCCTCTAAATTCTTATCACACCAAAATATAAACATGCAAGAGCATACATTGTCTTTCAGAAAATCTCAATATCAAACAATAAATTGATCCCCGGTGTTACATATTAGAGAATAACCCAAAACTAAGACAAGAAAACTAAAAGAAATAGCTCGGGGAGCTAGCTTCCACTCACAACAACTTCTATACTCTTGGGTATTTGTCTGATGTCCATGTAAAGACAACATTCAAACAGAAGGGATGAGAATTTATTTCAATAATAGCAGTATATAATGTAAGATAAAGCACAACATCTACATGAATGTATGAACATGTTACAAATTCAATGCGTTAAGACCCCTCTTCTGATCCTAACATACATGCATTGACAAACTCGCGAAATCATCTTTTCTAGATTACCACAACAACAAAATTCATGTGCAACAAAATATAATATCAATGCAACTCAAAAATTAAATAGTTCCCCGCAATTAAACTATTAACTCACATGTGCAACAACACATCAATCACAATACTCAGCATAGTAACACAACACAAGCGCAAATAATAATTCAAGTCAATATATTATTAATTCACTTATATGCAACTCACCTTTACTCAACAACACACAATAACACGTCAATTACACTCATCATGTATAATATATCAATTCACACTCATACGGTAGCATATCGACATCACCACTTACACAATCAACACAATCATATTCAAATAATTATTTAAAATATCAAAAGGAGTCGGAATCAAGCAATGAATATGTTCCAGAAATTTTAGAGAGTCTATTTTGAGAATATTATTTTTATTTAAAGATTTAATACACCAATCGGTTCAGTTTAATCAAACCATAAGAACGGGTACTCGCATCGGGCATAATATTTTTCCTGACTTCAAACTGGTGCCTAAAATTATATACTTATGAGAAAATTATGAAAAATTCCAGTTGAAAGTATCATTAAATCCTCTTTCCAACACAACTTACATTAGCCAGAACGGACTCCCGAGACTCCAGTTACACTTGAAACAAGCTGACCAACACATGACTGAAACGGCCAACGTTTATAGTATAGAAACCAGAAAACGGCTACTATTCTAGCACTCCTAGACTCAATTTCTCCACTTAGACATAAACATTATGACGTTAGTTTTATAACATAACTGACGGAGCCTCAAACAGACTTATAGAGCTCAAGATATGCACGAAACAAGTTGATCAATACTCTCCTGCGTTTTCCTGCGATTTCCTTATGAGAATTTCACTTCTAAAATCATTTTTTCAACTTAGACCTATCTCGAACATCCCATAACATGTCCAAATAGCTTTTTTCAAAATCTATTATTATAGGTCAATTACCTATTGTTATTTCATTTTAAACCTATCAATCAAAATCTAATTTCATAAAATCCTCATAACTCTCAAAATTCATAATAGAGTAACTCATTGTTATTATTACTTGTGTCAGACCATCAATAAGATAATAACCCTTAAAACCAAGTCATACCAACACAACTCTAAAATATATCAGAGTTACTCAAGTAGTAACTCTGACAACTCTAAGATGACAAATTCCTAACACCAAAACAACTTATTTTGAATTCCCAACACAGTAAACCAAGATGATATTATAATTTCATCATATACTCATCAATTTATCACCAAATCAAATAATTTAAAAAATATAATCATGTACCTATACTATTTCAATTCCTAAAATCTTCAAACATCATCAATTGTGAAAATACATAGATGCATTAAAACATAATTTTATTCACACATTGACACATGAAATTCAATATTCATAAACACATAAAATCACATAGAAACACCAATTTCAAAATTATTCCTCTACCATTCATCATACCCCTATTATTGAACCGAATTTCCACCCTTACATCAATTCCTAGCAAGCAAAGCAAATCCTCTCTTGAATTCTTCTCCTACCTCTAGCCAACCTTGCATCTTCCTATTTTACTATTGTTGACTCTTTTCTCCCAAAACCTCAATGTTATGTATTGTTAGCTCTCCACCCTCATATTTTTTCTCTTTTAAACAAAACTTAATTCCCTCGTTTAGGTTATCCATATTTTACCCCAACTTATTCTCGTAATTACTAGTCTGCCCTTAATTTCTCTACATGTCCTTATTCTTTTATTTTATTTACATAATAAAATTAAATCATTATTTAACTATTAAAATAATTCTAATTATTCTCTCTTTCTCTAATTATACTCCACACTCTACCATAAGGTCACACATCATTCCTCCCACCCACGTTTATTTAATCATCCAGACATAATAATTAAATAAATACACAAAATTATAATTAAATTAAAATAAATTATTAAAGTTAGTGTGTTACAACTATCCCCCACTTGCAAAATTTTCGTCCTAGAAAATCACCGTAAGTAACTAGTGGGAGAAATAAAAGTTTTTCCCTCACTTGTTTCAATCCCACTTTTATAGACAAGTAGTTAGAAAAACAAGCAATCACCGGCAGTATTTCACACACATGTCATGTTCTAAAGTACAACAACATTACACAACCTGGCCAGATGGAATGACCTGCTTTGTACCACTATGTAACACCATATTTCCCCCAACACACAATTATAATTAAATCAAAGATTTTTCACAATATTTTCACATAGGATGTTACACATCTCGAAACACACACACACATGTTGATCATTTAACACTTATTTTAATTAAACATGCAACACAACATTTTAATATACACATTGCATTTATGATGTTTACATGATATCTAACTCATCTAATATATATTGGGATGTTTACACGACATCCCACTTATATGATAGCATATCAGCGGAATCATAATTAAAACACACCAATTTAAATTTCATATAAAACTACATTTTATACTAAAAAGCATTGACCCGTGAGTCTCCTCTAAAGGCTTATCACACCAAAACATAAACATACGAGAGCATAAATTGTCTCTCAGAAAATATCAAAATAAAATAATAAATCGCTCCTCAGTGTTATATATCAGAGCATAACCCAAAACTAAGATAAGAAAATTAAAAGAAATAGCTCCAGGAGCTAGCTTCCACTCACATCGACTTCTCTACTCTTGAGTATCTGCACGATGTTCATGTAAAGACAACATTCAAACTGAAGGGGTGAAAATTTATTTCAATAATAATGATATAGAATGTAAGATAGAGCACAACATCTATACAATCATGCACAACAACATATCACATTCTCACACCAAAATCATCATCAACATCATATACAACAACAACATCATCGCACATAGTCATATTCTACATAACCTCAATCATAGTATAACAATTACATTCATACACACACACACAACTCACCAAAATCAATCACAACTTAACGGGTATATCTCAACAAAAGTACATATGACTCATTATGATATTCAACTCGCATATGCAACTTTAAGCATATGTATGTGGTACCAACTTAATATTTGATTCTCTCTGGAACTGGGTCCCCTCTTCTGAACCCATAATCCCCTCTTCTGAGCATGGAATAAGCCGCTAGTCCCCTTTTCTAAACTAGCGAACATGCCTCTTGACACAACTCAGCATGAATGTATGATCATGTTAACAAATTCCAGTATAACAAATAATGCATTTCATGATGGAGCTTTCACGTCATCCAGAAAAACAATGAGGTATTAAGCCTAGGTGTGCCATGTTTTATATTTTTATAATTGTAAAAATAAAAACTTACTTCAGTTTCTAATATATCTGACGGGTAAAACTAATCAGGATGTGCTTCCAGTCCAAACTTTTGCAGTTTATGTTTTATTTTGATTATAATTGTAAAGTAAAACAACTAACCCTTTGGTTTTTAGATATAAACGAGGGATCAGTTAATCATATTTCACTATAAAAGCAAAAACATTTCACCTTAATCCTTACTTCTTTGTAACCGCCCCAAACTCGCAAGCATCATTCTTTGGGATGGATTGTAAGATAGAAAAAACCTCCAATGTTATTATAGAACAAAATGTTTTTTCTACCCTTGGTATTTTTATTGTTGTTGTATTTTTTCTCATTTGATAGATTGCAATTGTA